TATGACTGTTACCAAATAACTACCCCGAGATGGACGGCAAACAAACATAATAAATGTATATAACTATTAGAAGTCCTGCCCCACAGCCTGAATTCAGTAGTTGATGAAGTTCGGTCCGAACTTAGCATCGTCTCTGAGTTTAATGGCAGCCAATGATCAGCAAGAGGAGATCAGTCGCGCCCTGCTGTCCGCCCTGCCTCGCCCGCCCCCCGCGTTTCCCAGCAGGACATAAGCCTCGCCCTCTCCCCCTCTTCGGTCACGGGGAACAGGTCGAAAGCTTTACCACTTGAGCCAAAGAGGATTTTCAGCTGCACAAAGAACCCACCAACCGAAATGCGGAATAAAGCTTGTTTGTACCAGACCAGGGAAAAGCGATCCTGGGGTGGGGTGGGGGGTGGAATCAAAGTTAGGCATCCCTTTAACTGCAGCACAGTGGTAGGAATTTCCCAGGTGGAGATTCTCAGTCATCCGGGTTATGGCTGCCCCAAAGGTGCGTTTCAAGAGGCAATTGGACTTTCTGGGTTTTCTTTGTTTCCCTTCTCATCCAAGAAGCTTCTTCAGCTCTGACTGGATGGTGGCGAAGGGAAAGATTTATCCTCTTTGCAGACAGCTGGTCATTTGCATCCTTTTTAGAGTCATTGAGGCCACTTGGAGTTTTGTCTGTGTCCTCAGGGTCACCTGAGTGGTGCAAATGCAGGGGTGGGATTCTACCGCTTCGGCCCAGTTCTGTAGCTCCAAAGAGCAGCTGACACTGAACCGGTTCTCTCTGAAGATCTTCATTTCTTCGGTTGGGCCCACCGGGGCTCTAGGCTGTCCTTTATTCTTACCTTAGTTAGATGGCTATTGCTTACAGAAGTTGTTTTGCAAGTACTGCACACGCACACACAAAGCACACGCTCACCGAACCGGTTGTTATGCCAATAGGACCCCACCCCTGTGCAAATGGGTGTAGAGCCTTCTTGGAACTGTTGAAAGGACCATGTTGTAGACTGGAGACAGATGACGTCTATCCTTCCCCCTTTGAGGAGGGAGGGCTGTTCAGTTAGAAGCTGAAGAAGCTTCTTGGGTGGGAAGTGAAATCAGAAAGTCCAGTTGCCTCTTGAAAAAGCCTCTGGGGGGTTCCTGGCCCAGGACCTCTTGGGGACCAGCCACCCGCCCGATCCCCAGGAGCAATGCTTTCTTCCTAGGGTGCCCAAGGAAGACACACCTTCAGTCGTGCTCCTGGCGTACATGGCTACAGCTCTACTACTTTCTGCAGCAGGGAAATGTGCAAAGGACGACCCAAGGGAAGCTTGTTGAGAGCATGGGGTGGGGTGAGGGCCTTAAATTCATTTGGACAAGGGAGGGGAGGTCATAAGCTGGTCCCTCCCCTTTGCCAAGGGAGGCACCCATCAGGGCATGCCCAAGCCTTAAGAGGGGCAGCCCTGCCCCCTCACCTAGTGCCACAAAGGGGGAGTGCATTGGGGGGGGGAGGGGGAGGGACATCCACCCCAAAGGGGGGCGGGGAGCAGTGTGCCACTTGTAATTCCTAGGTGTTGTCGGTGGAGGCTGCCAGTCCTTTCTTTGCCAATTGAGCTCCTCAACACCCTCAAGGGGGTAGACAGGCACCAGAGGAGGGCAAAGGCCGTGGAGATGAACTCGGAGAAAGTCAGAGCACCCAACGGTCTGAACCTCCCCCAGCCGTGAAGGGGCCATTGGCGCTTTGTCCTGGCAAGGGCTGTGGGGACATCCTTTGCCCCCCACCCCAGAATGGTGATCGAGGGGCAGAAGGCCAGCCCCCCTCCCTTGGAGCAGCAGGGGGGGGTCTCCTGGGGGGGGGGGCTGCAAAGGATCAATAATGACATGGATGAGGCTGCCCCACCCTCAGACCTGGGGAGGGCATCGTAGCTGGGTCAATCCTGGGGGGGTGGAGTGGCTCTAGCCCAGCACCCCATCTTTGGCCATTTTCCTCAGAAGACAAAAGGCTGAGACCAAAGTCCAGAAGGACCTACAAATATAAAAAGTGAGCTGAAACAATAGCAGGTCTAACTGTACATTATTCTAAAAACTGGGGTGGGGGAACACATGCTTCCTCCCTCTGAGCAAGCTCTTAAAAGGGCACCGGCCGCAGGGAATAGTGGTCCCAGGGCCAATAAAATCAGAAGCGGCTCCTTGGAAGAACCTTCCTTCAAAGGCCTTAAAAGGGGCAGCAGCCAGATTGTGGAGCACAGCAGGAATTGGGTTTCTAGTTTGTGTTTGTGCAAGATGTTTGTGAGAATACAACCAAAAGCACCCCCTAAACACAGGCATTTGCACCCTGGACCACTGACACTCAGGGGTGAGCCATGTATCCAAACCACAAGCCCTTGAACCTGGCCTGAGCCTTCCGGCATGGGGACCACCTGTACCTGCTCTAGGCAGGTGGGGCGGCCCCCACCCTCTCCTAGCTAGGAGGGGAGAAGATGGAAACACTGTGCTGGCGGCAGTATTTTCCACAACTGCTTGCTGTGGTTGCTATTTCGATGATGATGATTATCATGATTATTAATTCTGATTCTGTATCGTTTTTACTAGGCAACGCTGCCTACATGCTGCCTAGCAGTTCCAGTGGCAGACAAATTTCAGGAAGAAATGACACCTGTTTAATTTGCAATTGCAAATTAAACAGTGTGAAGGGGCTGCAAAATAGCCATAGCCCTCAGACTTATATACCGCTTCACGGTGCTTTCCAGCCCCCTCTAAGCGGTTTACAGAGTCAGCCTATTGCTGCCAACAATCTGGGTCCTCATTTTACCGACCTCGGAAGGACAGAAGGACGAGTCAACCTAGATTCAGGTGGAAGGGCCTCAATCAAAGCGAAGCTTCCAAGCCTGGGGCTGCAACACACAGCGATGCCTCAGAAGACCCTGGAAGGAGCCAATGTCTCCCCCACTCCTGGGGGCCTGGGCTTCAGTGTGTGTGTGTGTGTGTGTGAGAGAGAGAGGGAGGGAGGGAGGGAGGGAGGGGAGAGGCCACTTCCTTTGAGACATCATCTCAGCCTCCTTGCTAACATGGGTATTAGCAATGACGTGTGAACGTGACATCACACATGCTTCTTCCCGGAGAAGAAGATCCACCCATCATGCCAGGAACAGCAAGGCTGCATTGCAGCAAGGCATCCTTCATGGGGGTGGGGGTGGGCGGGGGAATCCCTTTCAAATCGGCCTGGAAACCGCAGAAATTGGCAGGGGTGGGGTGGGGTGGGGGAGGACAGGTTGGCTGCAGAGAGCTTTAACTGTGAGAATGTCTGTTTTACTTTACTTCCGTGTACTTTTACAGGGTTTAAAGGGCAACCTTCCTCCCCCCAGTTTTCTCACCTCCTGTTGAGGCAGCCGCATGACCAGCTCACTATCTGCCCCTCTCTAGGAAGGGTCGGCCTGGGGGGGTTTAATGGAAAGACCACAAGGGAGCCGTGACACCCGTCTGCCCATCCTCAGCTTCCCAAGAGAGCGCCTGCCTCCCTGGCACCTCCTCCCTTGCCAGTCAGATTAATGCCACCCCTCCACCCTGGCCAGGAATACTGTAGGGAAAACCAGTGCAGGATGCCTGGGAAACGAGCTAATAAAGTCCCAAACAGAAACAATAAACAGAGACAGAAAAACAAGGGGCACCTGACGAGACCAGCAGAAAGAGCTCTCTGACAAAAAGGACAAATATAAAAAATGGAAAGAGGGGTTTGTAACAGAACACCAGCAAATAGCCCAAATCTGCAAAGGCCAAGTCAAGAAAGAGCAACAAATGTCAAAAATAAGTTTTTTTCAATATATAAGCACCAAGAGGAAAGTCAAGGAAATGACTGGTCCACCAGTGGGTGAAGATGGCCAGAAGATGATAGGTAACAAGAAAAAAGCAGAACTGCTTAATTTCTGACTTTCCATCTCTTTTTACACAAAAGGAAAAAAAAAAGTCCACTCTACCAAAAGCGGCACCGTGGGAGACAGAACAAGACAGCCAAGGATTTGGCAAGAGAGCGCCTCTCTGCATTTGGCCAGGATTTACACCCCAGGTTTTTGAAGGAGCCGGCAGACGCGATTTCAGAACCCCCGAGAGCCCAGCGGGAACTGCCAGAGGGCTGGAAAAGAGCCAGTGTGGCTCCAACCTTTGAAAAGGGTAAAAAGGAAACTACAGGTCGAAAAGCTTGACGTCAATACCTGCGAAAATCCTGGAAAAGATTCCCTCATCAAGGAGGCAGTTTGTGAGCATCCAGAAATGAAAAGGGCGATTCCTGGAAGCTGTTAAAAGCAGCTCACACCAAAGAAACATCATTGCCTTCTTTGATAAAGCGACTAAAGTAGCAGGCAAATGCTGTGACCACCACATACTTGGACTCTGACAAAGTAGACCACAGCCTCCTTCTTGGTGAGATGGAACCACAGGGGACAGATGGCATCACCACCCGAGGGATGGTCAGCGGCTGACCGTCCGCCCTCAGCACGTGGGCACAGGGGAGCTGCGCCTACATGGAGGGGAGCAGGCAGTGGGGCACTGTCTTAGGCCCACGACTCTTCAGTACCTCCATAAATGGTTTAGCTGAGGGGACAGAGGGGGGACCCATCAAATTGGCAGAAGACGCTGGTTGGGGGGCACGGCTAACACTTTGGAAGACAGCCTCCACACTCAGAAGCCCCTTGACAGGGTTGAGCCTTTGGCCCAATCCAACAAGACCCGCTTCCATGGTGAGGAAAGGGAGGCCCTGCACTTATTGGGCAGAGAAAAGCAGCTGCCCAGCCGCAGCAGGGCCTGTGAGGGAGGGTTCCGTGTGTTGTTTGAGTCAGCAGAGGGCTGCAGCTCTCGGAAAAGCCCCGAAGGCCCAAGTGCCCAGGGAGCCAGAGGCCTGCAGCGGGACGAGAGCTGCCTGGGCCTGGCTCCAAAGCCAAGGTGCCCCCAGCTGCCCCTGGGCCAGGCCCTCCTGCCTGCAGGGGGAAGCACTCTCCCTCTCTCCCCCCCCCTTCTCTCTCCTCTCTCCCCCGCTCCCTCTTTCTCTCTGTCATCCAGGCTTTGGAGGGGGGGGGGGCTTGCAAGTCTTTGCCCCATTTCAAGGCAAATGCTCAAAGGAAGAGCAGCCTTTGCGTTTTCTTTCCAGCTATGATAAAATGTATTTCAGTTCTAAAAGGATTACATTTCATAAAATCCTACAATCCCAGTGTTCAAACAAGTGCCAGCAGAGGCTCCTCATAACGTCGCAGTGAAGCACACAGATCCTAAGGGTCGCTAGGAAAACGGGGCAGCAGACGTCGGCCGGGGCATAAGGAGACCCTGCTGGGAAAACCGGCTCCGTCCAGGCTCTTCCGCGCGAAAGGGAGGCACGGCAAGCCGAGCCAGGCTGCTCCGGAGGCCAAGGCGCCTCACGATGCGCATGGAGAGGTGCCGAAGGAGGAGGACCTCAGAAGTCACAGGGCGGCCTCTCGCCAGGAAGGCGTTCTGCGCTGCTGGTCCCAGCCCAGTCCGCCTGCTGCTCATCTGACTTCGGGCTCGGCCGAACCTGGGAAGGGAGAGACCTGCATTTGAATGCAATTCCGCCCACCCCCCCACAACTTGGCCCAGAAAGGAAGGAAGGCAAAGAGGGAAGCTGCCCCCACAGCGTTCGGGGTGGGGGGGGGCTCTCCTTGCCATGGGGCCGAAAACTCTTGCAGAGTGAATCCAGGCCAGACCCGAGGGGGGGGGGGGGGGGGGGGGGGGGAGTCCTTCCTCTCCAGCACAAGAGGCCTTTGCTGGGGCAGCAGGAGTCTTCCGGCACCCACTAGGTGCACGCACGCACGCACCGCACCCCCCCCCCCCCCGTTCAGGAGCAGGGAGGATGAGGAAGCAGCAGCCCTCACCTGGACCGGCTGGCTAAGGCCCACGAGGGACCGCAGCGTGTTGCTGTAGTAGCCCAGGAGGAATTCTCCCCCCGCTTTGGGGAGGCCCTCAGCCCCGAGGTAAACCTGCAAGCAAGGAAGCTGCCATCAACTTTCAGCGGCGGCAGAAAAGCAGAAAGCCCCAGGAATTGTCCTTCACCTGCTTGGCCCCGTCCTCGGAGGAAATCTCATTATCCTGCACCCAAACGTACGTGACATAGTCGTTCGCATGTCGGAAGGACACCTGCCAGGAGAGAGGAAGAGCTACAAGGGGAGCCCAAAGGCCCCTCCTGCCCACACAGGTGGGAGGGAGTGCAGGCCCAGACCAACCAGCCGTCCCTTCAGCCACCAGGCCAGACAGGCCCCTGTCAGGGACTGTTCCCTCCCCCCCCCCCCCCCCGAGCCCATCATCCTCTGGGCAGGTAGGAGCCTCTCCCATCCCTCGGGGGTGGGTGGGGTGGGGTGGGTGGGTGTTGGAAACGGGGAGAGGGTTTTTCCCAGCAGGCAGCCGGCTTGCTCCCCTTCTTGCAAGACCGTGTGTGTGTGAGTGAGTGTGTGTGTGTGTGTGTGTGTGTGTGTGTGTATTGCAGCCTCTGCTGAGGTGGCTGGGAAAACTACTTCCCTCTGGCCAAAGGCGGCGGCCTCAGGACAGCCTGGCTTCCATGGGCAGCAGAGCAGGGCTGGGTCTGAGCACCAGCCTGAAGCCCCCTCCCCTCCACACCCCTGGTGCCAATCACCCTGTAGAGCCCAATCCAGTCCCAGGCACTGCTGGCGAATTCTGGAGCGGTGACGTAGCTGACCGTGGCATCCTGCTCAGCCCTCCAGGTGCCCACCGGGCGCAGCACAACCAGGGGCTCCGTCTGCAGGGGCTGCATCTGCGGAAACAAAGCCGCCCCCCCCCCCCCCCCCAAGATGAGAAGGCCAGGGAGTGCCCCACCCCCACCCACCCTGGAACCCCCTGGGGCTCTGCTCCTCCTCCCAAGGCACAGCCCCCTTGGCACCCAGCCCGCTTCACACTTGGGGTCAGGCCAAAGCAACAACCTGGGGCTGGACCGGGCATTTAAAGTGCTCCTTCGTTTAGCCTTCTGTGGTTTGGGGCTGCAATTCCTCTCTCCGCCTCCCCGTGGGGGAAAGGAAGCCCTTCTGGGGGGCTGGACCTGGGGGTTACACTTGTTCTGCTAAGACTGTTTTAGGGCCGGGGGTTTTCCCTTTGGGCGGGGGCTGCTTCTTGATAAAGGTGCGCAAGGAGAATCTCCTAAACAAAACTGTCGCCACAACCCACAGAGGCCTGTGTGTGTGTGTGTCATACCTGTGGGGAAAAGGAGTGACACGCAGCCCTCGGGCCATCCTCAGGGCTTGCCTTCATTCAGGGTTTGTGCCCAGGCAATGCTGGTTTATTCAATTCAACCTGGCTAAGCAAGCCACAGCTCGGCCCGGAGTGTGCAGGGACACGAAGGACACTGTTCCTAGCCGGAGGCTTCAACGGGGGCCCCTCGGAGGCCCTGCACCAACCACAAACCCGGCGGCATCGGCTGAGTTAAGGGCAGGCTGTCCTGCTTCGCTTTAGAAGCCAGTGGCAGAAATGCCCAGGGCCGGTGGGAAAGGCCTGCCTCAGGGTGGCAGGCTGGGCAGTATCCCTTGGCAGCTGGGTGCCAAGCGGACAAGCCCATCAGCCGGAATCCCAATTTCTCTGGAGAGGAGCAGCTGATGCCCCTGGGGAGCCAGGATGCTGCTACCTTCAGCTCAAAGGTGCCGGTGACCGGCTTGTGATCGCTGATGTTGTAGTCCATGTGGCTGGTGTAGCTGCCCAGGGAGAGGGAAACCCCTCCCTCCCCTGGAGCCTCCTTCGCCTTGGAGCACGAAGGGAGGCATTTCACTCTCCAGAGGATCCGGTCAGTCCAAGCAGGCTTTCGTCTCTTCTCACTGCAGAAGCAAAGGAAGCGTGTGTGTGTGTGTGTGTCAAGGACAGGGGCCAGCTGGCTCCCCAGGGCAGCCCAAGGGGCCATGCGCCCCCACCCTGAGCAGAAGGGGAAGCTGGGCTGGGGGCTCAAGCCATTTTGCTGCATTCAGGGGCTAAACCTGGGCAGCTTTTTATCCGAAGCCGCTCCCCTCCCTCCAGGCATAAAAGCCCCCCTTTGCACCCCCCACCCCCACCCCACAAACAGCTCAGAAGCACTTTGGCCACAATTGTGGCAGCTGCAGTTCTGGCTCGTCTTTCCAGCTGGTCGGTGCTCGGGTGACCGAGAGCTCCTGGTTGAGCACCCTGGGCTGGACACGTTGTGAGCGTGCGTGACAGACCCCTGTGTCAACTCTTTTGGTCAGCTGCTGCTGCTGCTGCTGCTGCTGCTGTTTTAAGGGCCTCCCGGGTCCTGCTTTTGGCAGCTGCTCTGGGTTCCTCCCGGCGGTTCTGTGTGGCCGCCTTTGTCTCCAGGGGATCTACCTGCACAGCCCATAGAGAGCGAGGGGAGGGCCGCTGCTGCCCCCTGTGCGCCTCAGGAGGGTCAGAAGCCAATTCGCACGCCAGGAGCATCATCCCCCCAGCAGCCACCGAATTGGAAGACGCGGCTGTGTGAAAGTCAGCAGACTCCAGCGGCCCAAAGGCCGAAGTCTCCCTAAGCTCCCCCCCCCCCATCTGGGGGGTCCTCAGTTACACCCAAGCAGTGCCTCCTCGGCTCTGCAAATAGAGAGAAGGGCAGAGGGACAACCCCCTCCACCCTTCCTGCTCCTGCTCGGACCACTGGGGAGCCCCGGTGATTTCTGTGGTCAGCGCAACAGCCCCACCTTAGTCCGAAGCCTCCCGCAGACCTCCGCGAGGGCAGTTACCTGGTGTCGTACTCATCCGAGTGCAGGTCAAACTTGTAGGTGGGTTTAAACTTCAGGGGGCCCTCCGAGAACTCCTGGAGGAAGAACGTCTTCTTCCTGGCCATGTTTAACTGGGAAGGGGAAGCCATTCATTGCTGCGCTTCCTCCTGGGAGCCACGGCAAGGAGCC